TCTGTATCTATGAAGCACCTTGAGGCGACTTTTGTTGTGATTTGGCGCTATATAAATAAAATTGAATTGAATTGAATTGAATTGAACTGCACAATGCCATCTGGTCAAAATCTCTGAATTTTTCCAGCACCTTGCGAAGATTTAGGGCAGGTTCTGGAAGCAAACGTGGGTCCAACTTGAGACTAACATGATGTACATAATAAAGTGTCCAGTAAGTGTACTGCTTGTTCCCCTGTTTTAATGGTGGCCTTGAGAAGAATATGTTTCTGAATCTTTTTCAGTCTTTTTCTTTTTCAGTTTGATGACCCTGAGTCAAAACAGTAAGGTCCATTCACCAAAATGCTGACTGATATATGCTATTTTAAATGAACGACAGTGTTTCTGTGGTGTTTCTGCTGTAACCAGGGCGAAGAATTGAAAAATGGCTGTGACTGAGTTAACTGCCACCACCTCTTTGCCTCTTCAGCTGCACTTGGAGCCCCGCGTTACCCAGCTAATGACTGTAATATCTCTGGCTCAGGGCTGCTCTTTTTTGGCTTTGAGGATGGATGGTACAGTATCAGAGTTGGCCACAGAGCTCTATCACTTGTGGATGAATGAGTGTGAGGACACCTACGCTGTCTGGGGAAGATTATTGGCTCATGATTGCTGGCTCAGGACACACTCATCAATCTGGAAAGACAGGGGCTGCAAGAGAGAAAAGCCCAATAGCAAAGTGACGACAATAAAAGGACAGCTTCATGAATAATAACGAGCACTGTACCGAGGGATGCTATTCAACATGTTACTTACAAGGCTCTACTGAGTGCAGTGATGCTTAAAATCCCAGACAAATTCATCTCTGCAATAAACAGTTCATCTGTGGGTGCTCCATGAAAATAAAAGATGAGCGGGAATTGCGAGAAGAGAAAAGCTTCAAAAAGCAGTTAATCCACAAATCGAATATGCTTGTTTTTTTGTTTGTTTGTTTTTTCACCGGTGCGTAGTGCGGTTTAATACATTTAGTTTTGGAGACATCCTCTGTAGTGAGTCTGTTTTTCTTGTCTTGAATACAATGGGACCAGATGAAACGCGTCTTCTGGTGCTTAAAAATACAATTGAAAAAATAAACAGCGATACCTCTTTCAAGAAATCCTGACCCAGTTACAAAGCAAGTTTTACAAAACTAAAAAATACAAAACTTGTTTCAGGTAGGAACTTTGTTTGCACAGGGGCCTGATTTATTATAGATTTTTTTCTTATTTTTATTGATTGAATATTAATTATGTAGGAGGTTATGTGCCTAAAATTATTAGAACTCCACTGACTTATCTCATTTGTAAAATCTCTGTCATGATGATCTCACACTTCTTCAGTAATGTTGAGGTTCGGGCTCCGGGGAGGCTAATCTATGAGTGTTTTTTATCCTAATATGCAATTGTTTCATATGTCGGTGTTTAGAGTCTTAACAAACATAAAATATTCATCTGACAATAGTCAAGTGCAAAAGTTGAATGAAAATGAATTAAAATCAGCCGCTGACCAACGGAAACCTTTGACAGACCTAAAGAACTAAAGAACTATTCTCAGGCTCACTTTAGAAATTAAGAAAGTCTGTGTACTTGGAAGGAAAAATGTGAAGTAGTGAGAGTGGTTTGACACTTTTGCACAGTGATATATAATACTTGATGTTCATTTTATTGATACATTGATCCATTCAGGGTAAAACTACGGTGGCCCTGAAAGGCCAAAAAGACTGCAACTTAAGAAAACACCAGCAATACGAAAAACGCTGGAAAAGCAAACAAAACACAAAAGAAATAGGAAACAACACAAGGGAAGTGTTTCTCAGGAGACAATAACCCAATGATGTTTTATCATAATTCAAATAATACTGATGACAGATTTTTAGGCTAATAGTTAGGCTAACACGCTTACCTCTCATCTTTTCTTTCCTCACAAAACCGATCAATCCTCCACTTCCTTTAAGTGTCTCCCAGCGCAATTCTTAGCATATTTTGGTTCCTGCAACTGGTCCGTCGGGTTATTGTCCCCCCAGAAACACTTCCCTTGTGCTTTTGGAAATCTGTTTTTTCTGTTTTCATTTTTCTTATTTCTGTTTTGTCCTATTTCCGTTGTGCTTTGTGTGCTTTTGCAGCGTTTTTCTTATTGCTGTTGTTTTCTTAAGTTGCAGTCCGTTTAGCCTCTCAAGGCCACCGTATAAAACAGACAAAAAAACAGAGCATGCTTTAGGGTGTGGGTACCAGAGATGGGTAATCCGATAACTCTTTTCAAGTAACGAGTAAAGTTAGGGATTACTATTGCAAAACAGTAATTAGATTACTGTTACTTTCTCATAAGCACGCTGCATTACTAAACTTTGATTTTTTTTGTGAGAGTGTCTCATGACAAGGATGTATGAGCGTGTGACATCCGTGGCAGTAACAGACGTGTGTAGATCAAAAATAGATAATATGGAGTGCGGGAGAGAGTACGACCATGTAGTGTTTAAAGCTTGGAAGTACTGACATTACTTTGAGTTTGATTCCATACACATGGGAAGAAAACTTCTTTCTACAGTGAAAAATTAAACTTCAAATCTGGCAAGCACCTACCAATCCACCATGGGACTGTGAAACTCACAGAGAAACCCCCGGATCCCCCCACTGACATGACTGCTGTAGCACCTGGCAAACCTCCACAGGCCCCACTCCTGCTAAACATGTGAAAATAGTTTTAAGAGCGACAGGACTTAGTGCCGCTGAATCTTTGATTTTATTTATTTTTTGTTGTGTTTTACTTCCGTCTATTTGAAAGAGTGTAAACACAAAAAAATATTTTATTTTATATGCTGGAATATGCAGAAAATACATTTAAATGTTAAACAAATTTCTTCAAGTCAAAGACTGTTGCATACAATTTAAGTTTCGCTTGATGCAATGTGCATAAAGTTAAAACATTAAAATTCATAAAACAATTTTTAAAAAGAGACATTTGATTCAATTTTATATGAGGGATTATGCAGAAAAATTGAATTGGTCTTTATTACGTATTCAGATTGTGTGTCATTTTTTTTTAAAAAAGTACTCTAAGTAATAAATTAACTAATTACTTTTGAAAACAGGTAATTAGTAAAGTAACAGGATTACTTTCTTGGAGAAGTAATTAGTAATTAGTAACCAGTGTTTGTCAAGTTTCTTGAAAATAGAAATTGGTTACTAATTACTGATTACTTCTAAAGTAATCCCATTACTTTACTCATTACTTGAAAAAAGTAATCGGATTACAGTAACGCGTTAAACGTTACTGCCCATCTCTGTTAGTAACTAATTACTATTTTCAAGTAACTTGACCAACACTGGCGGCTACCTTTCCACACGTTGCTAACATATGAGCATTCAGTGTTTGTCAGCGAGATTCAGACGTATGTTGTAAATTCTGGCAACAAAAAAACAACATAACAAGATGACAACAGCCCAAAATGCCAGAGACCACAAACCAATGGGTCCATGTTTGTTTAGCCTATTTCACCTTGTCAGATCTGCCCAAAATATAAGCTGCTTCGTTGTCCTTCTGGTCACTAATTGGGGCTGTGATGAACAGAATAAACCAAATAAATAAGACCTGAAAATAGCAGCTGGGATAATAAACTCATCACCAAAGTGTTTAATTAGGTCAGAGTTCAAGAGAGCTGGTTTTCCACACATTTCTTTACAACAGGATTTCATCTTTTGCAGACAAAGACACACACCCCCCCCCCACACACACACACACACACACACACAATACTGGCACATCATCTTTGTTCACAGCCTGTGGGAAAAAATAAAAATAACTTCGAACTTAAGAGAGAAAAACATGACTGTGATTGTAGATAAGAGCAATAAAACCTATTTATTTAATCTTGAGATGATAATAAGTTTTATTTATTATAACAATTGGAGATGTATTTATTTTTTCCGTGACCTATAATAAACTATTTGCATAACTCTACACAAACACCGAGCTGCACAGAGGAAATGCTGGCACAAAACAAGCGCGTCAGGGGCTCCGACTGCGCTGCGGTCAGTGAAAGAGAAAGTTCGCTTTCTGCTCTCGTGAGTCTCAAGAAAATGGCACACTGAAATTAACTGCAGGGGATTTATTCTTTTTATTTCTTTTTGGGGGGGTGGGTGGTTGTTTTAACACCAGTTACTCTAGAAAGTATCTATGCGTGACATTACCTGTGTCCTAGCTTTTCATATGACATTTTAGCAGGCTCGGTCCTGCTTTTGGCATCAGGTGCGCGCTCAGTGCTGACTAAACTTTTAATAATACATTCCAGTCTCACATCGTTGCGCCGAGAAATCCACCCGCTCTTCAAGGGAGAAAAAAGAAGCCGATCCTTTCCTCTTCGTCCATCTGAGCATTGTTTACGGGTGAGACAGCTGACTGTCAGATGTATATGGAAGTAACGTTGGTGACGTCAGGAGCAAAGAGCAGCAGGCGGAGAGCGGAGAGAGAGGAGGGAGGGGGGAGGGAGCGAGACGCAACCTGTGCCAGTGCGCATCTTTTCCAAAACTTGTCCGGAGCTGTCAAAGAGCAGGGAACGGATCCGAACGCGCCATGAGTAACAAGTCTTTAAACCTGAACACCAGCCCGCCTCGGGCTGGCGGCACCGTGGACCACGAACTCGTCATCACTTCCACTTTCGGGACGCTCCTCTCCGTTGTCTACATCATCGGGGTCTCGGGGAACGTGTACACGCTGGTGGTGATGTGCCACTCGATCCGGTTCGCCACCTCCATGTACATCTCCATCATCAACCTGGCTCTCGCGGACCTGCTCTACCTCTCCACCATCCCTTTCGTGGTGTCCACCTACTTCCTGAAGGACTGGTACTTCGGAGACGTGGGCTGCCGCATCCTGCTCAGCTTGGACCTTCTCACCATGCACGCCAGCATCTTCACCCTGACCGTAATGTGCACGGAGCGCTATCTGGCCGTCACCAAGCCGCTGGACACGGTCAGGCGCTCTAAGAGTTACCGCAAAGCTCTGGCGTGGGGCGTGTGGCTGCTGTCGCTGGTGCTCACCGTGCCCATGATGGTAATGGTCGCTCAGACAACTAAAAGCACGCCGGACGGGGGTGTGAAGAGGATGTGCGCGCCCACATGGGCTCCACTGGCTTATAAAGTTTACGTAACGGTCCTGTTTGGCACCAGCATCATGGCCCCGGGGCTCATCATCGGGTACCTGTACGTCAAGTTAGCCCGCACTTATTTAGAGTCCCAGCGCAACTCTGTGATCAGCAAAGGCGGCAAAAGGTCACCGAAGCAGAAAGTGCTGATCATGATTTTCACCATCGTGCTGGTGTTCTGGGCGTGCTTCCTGCCTTTCTGGATCTGGCAGCTGCTGCCTCTGTACCACACCAAGCCGCTGAGCCTGGCCTCGCAGACGCACACGTGCATCAACTACCTGGTCGCGAGCCTCACATACAGCAACAGCTGCATCAACCCTTTCCTCTATACGCTGCTCACCAAGAACTACAGGGAGTACCTGAAGAACAGGCACAGGAGCTTCTACAAGTACACGTCGTCGTTTAAGAAGCGGCCGCCCAGCCTCTACTCGTGGGGCAAGTCGGCGTCCTCCAGCAATCAGTTCGAGTTCAACTCCGAGACGCTGGTCATGGGGTCACTGAAGTGAGGAGAAAGCGTCTGGAGCCGGAGCAGCGACAGGTAGGCGGTGATGTCTCCGTTACGCACGGGCTGGAGTCAGAGCAGCTCCGCATAAAGCAGGAAGCAGTCAAAGTTTGTTTTCTGTCATTTTAAAGTGCGGCTGTTCTTTAGTCACACATATGTTGTTTGTTATTTTATTCTGTCCATGATGGACAGCCCACTGAGCCACTCTCCCTCTCTCTCTATGCTGCGCTCCTGCAGCTCAGCCTCAGTGGAAGAACTCTTCCTGCGGTGTTGTTGTGCTGCAGTACAAGGCCGCGGCGGTAATTAGAGAAGCTGAAGCACCTCTTAAACGCAGAAGTGACTTTAAGAAGCACATTTGAATGTTTAATTTAAGGGTGTTTTAATCTGACATTACATTATTGTATTAGTGCAGTTAAATAAATGGGGCAGTCAGAATTTATGCTATTGCTGGATTAACCTCCTACTGACACGCCTACACTACAAACCAGGGACGTGCCCGAGTTTACAGGTCTGTGCGTTGGGATTATTTTAGGATCATTTGATTTGGTAATCTGAACCTCTGTAAACCACAAAATAAAACAGCCCCTACCAAGGACCCATTTTACAAACGGAATAAGTCAGCGGAGTTCTGATGCCTTAAAGTAACCTCATAGTCCCGAAATACATTCACATGTAGTCAAATTCCCACACAGTAAATTAAAAAAAAAACTAATAACAACAAATAACAACAAAAATAATCTGATTAGGGCATAGATTTTTTTTTGTCCCACCTTCTGCAAAGGTTATGTTTCACTGAGGAAAACATGTAGTGCACCTGTAGGTAGATGGGATTCCAAAGCCCCACTTTCACTCCATATTACTGATACATACACGTCTCAATAATATGCACCACTGTAGCAGAATATTAACTTTTAGAAGGACCAGAAGTTTACAAGCTCTATATTGGTTTATGCTGAGCACATGTAAAGTTGGTCGTCATATTTCTTCAAGCTTTTCTTGTTTGAAGTAACTGATATAGATGTTGCTGTGTTATTCCTTCATAGAGGTACTGGACTGCTTTAAGTATATACTCTCACCACTACTACATCTGACATCCAATATTATATTTGCATATACACAGAGAGAATGGAAAAACTGATTTTTGTTGTTGTTGTTTATTTCTTTTGTTTTTAGTTTATAGCATTGCATCTCACAAACTGGTCAAGGACTTAAACTCATTGCTGCTCAGCTATGATGCTGCTCTGCTGCATGCGCTGCAGATAGTGAAAAAAGGATCATAAACAGCTGAGTTAAAGCCATCCTTAATTACCCTCCATTTAAGGATAATAAATGTTTCACATTTGCAGTTATCTGATCTTACGACCCGGCTGAAAAGCCGCAACATAAAAAAGGAGACGAATACCAGAGTATGGGTGAGAAGAGGTTTTATCTTAAGATGGAAAACCAGGTTGGCTAAAATGGCTGATGTCACCAAGGCAAAGACAAGTGAGCTCTCCAGGAAGCTTGCCTCAGGTATGCTTTTATCCACACCTGACTAGGTGTGGCCAATTAGCACCAGCTGAAAACATTGAGGAGATTAGGGGCTGCAGAGGGACGTAACACCTCCTCCCTCAAAAGGGTTCCTCTAGGACCCCTACATTTATTAAAAGCCCCTCTGAAGCCTTCATCCCTCAAAAATAAGCTTGAGCACTTTATTACCAGCTCTCCTCAGTACTAAATACTCACATTTTGTTAGTTGGCATCTTTAAGCATGGATGCCCCTACATGAGGATCTGAAGTTGCCACACTGAACACACACCAAAAAGTAACACGTGACCAACACAAAGGAGCACAGTCACAAACCCAAAATGATTACCTGATCTGCTACAACACAAAACCAAAAGTAGCAACAAATAATCACAACTAAGTGATCTGTTGTCTCCACCACACAAACAGTCACATACAAGTGGCCCTATACCACAACAAGGTCTAGCGCTTTGGTCTAGGGATAAAAAATAAATAAAAAACTAATTTATAGACATACAATATGTCAGGTCACTATGAGCTGATCTGATCCTTAGCAGGTCTTAAAACCAGGTAAATACAACCTCAGATGAAAAACGAAACATGAAATATTACACTGCATCATATTTTTTTAACCCAAAATGCAGAAACAGTGTGTGGAAAAGCTAAGTACACCCTCACTGCTGTCATAGGAATAAAGAGGGTCAGTACTGCAGCAGGCAGGTGCTGCTAATTAAATACACTTGACTAACTGATCATCAGCAAGTGTGAGTGCCTCTATAAAAGCAGAATTTGGGGCAGTTTGGTGATCTGGAATATTGAGGTGTGTTAACACAATATCAAGCAGAAAACAAAACACACCAGCAACAATCTTAAAGAAGCAACTGTTGCCCATCTATCTGTGGAAAGTCGAAAACACTCAAGACAGCTGCTAATCTTCAGAGTGGTGGTCCCAGGAAATCCAAAGAACAAAGAGCTACATCTCCAACTCTAAAAGCCTCAGTTAGCATGTTAAATGTTAAAGTTAAAGACAGCACAATATTTAAAAAAAGACTCAATAATTACGGCTTACATGGAAGGATTGTCAGGATAAAGTCTCTTCTTTCTAAAAAAAACAACATTGCAGCACAGTCCAGGTTTACAAAGTTGTATCTGAACAAACAGCAAGACTTCTAGAACAATGTCCTTTGGACAGATGAGACCAGAGTGGTGACGTTTGACCATAATTTACAGAACCATGTTTGATGAAAACCAAATACGGCATATCAGCACAAACATCTCACCAAGTATGTTGGTGGAGGGGTGATGAGCCTACATCTAAACAGGTGAATTGACCTCGATGCGTTGTGTGACAGCCATAATAAGAGCTGGTCAAATTCTCTGAAAACAAAGAAAGGTGCTTTAGTAGTTCCTTTCTTACCTCCTTTAGTAGAAGACACTGGAACATCCCTTATGAGAGGAAAGGAGATAACTTCTTCTTCAAGAAGAAGTCACTGAAACAGCAGATCAACATAACTGATAAGCGACATGTTTCACATTGTAAAATGCTGCTTTTTTCCAGTTTTAACCCACAGGTGAACGAGGAGTATTGCACTACTCTACTAAAAGCTGCTTGATTTGAATTTGTTCCCTTGTGTGAAGCACTTTGTAAAGTGGATTATCAAAAAGTGTTCTTCAAATGAATATAATTACCCACATTAAAACAATCAAGCTAAAGTGGACCTAATTTGTGTTAATTGTGTCCTCATTCTGAGTTGCTGTATTATCAGCTTTTAGAACTCATTAATTGATTTTACTTCAGAGATGCTAAAAACCTTAATAAAGGAAAAGTGAAAATAAGGGGATCATCTCTTTAGTGGGGAAAAAAAACATCTGATTGGATAGCAGCACGAGTATCTGTTAAAACAGCTATTTAATTTGAGTGTTACTATCATTACTTGTACACAATTATGCAAGCCTACATGAAGAAACACTCTGAGAACACAAATGGAGGAGTGTGTATCTAATGCTAGTTTAAACCATAGACTGTATAAAAAAGATGGCCACAATGACATCACTCAATTGAGCTAAGCATTTTCATCATCCTTTTTGACTCTAAGAGTGCTCTAATTTACTAACGCACTGCCCCAGCATAAACTGGGTTTTGGTGTAAATTTTAAAAACTACTGTTGGTATTTACAAAGAGTGACAATCATGCCCTCACACGCTACTTTGTCCCGTTTTAGTAAATCTGGCCCAAAGTAGAACTGAAAATTAGAAGATTGTTGCATGATCATGTTGCAAGAGGACTTAAAACTACAGATAATATAAGCTAATAGGCAAAGAGTTTACTGAAATCACTCACGAACACAGTTGAGGGTAGGTTTGAGTGATATATGAGTCTGGAGCTATTTGTCAATATATTAGTCTCAGAGAGTAACTTTAAAAAATTTTTAAAGAAAATTGAAAAAGAACAGATGGAAGAAACACCCTTCAGTGATTATGTAATGACTGTTGATGTTGTATAGTTTGTTCACCAGGACCAGCACACCCGTTTAAAATGCCTCAAACGTGATAATCAGTTAATGTGAGCAGAATTATTCCGAGTGTAAATAAGCAAGGTACAATTTGTTGTTCCAATAAAACCAGTTTATGTTTAAGATACATAGTCATATTTTCCTAGAAGGGAGTCATGAATAACTACACGTAACAAATGTTAGGAAGATGTGTTTGTTTTGTGTCTGAAAGACACAAAATCGAAAACTAAATATCAACATCAAAAATCTTATATTTTCTGACTTCTTCTTATCCCAATCAGAAATGCACCTCCTGCTGGTCATTAGAAAGAATGCAGGTTCAATGAATTTCAAATGCCAGGAAACTTGGTTCATCTTTTATATACAGTTTACTGATTTTAACTGCAGAGCCATCACATTATTAAGCAAACAAGTATGAGCTGAAGCCTCTGAGCACTATAATTATCTTTTCCTAAGTCCTTATAAATTCTCCGTTCCGTCTCACTTTAAGACGTTCCCCATCACCATCAAGGAAAAGTGATTAGCAACAGAGATAATTTTCTGAATATTTAATTGGAATCCTGAATTTTGGCAGGAAATGAAAAAAGAAGAGAAAAGGAAACACACACATTGAATTTGCATGCATCCACCCGCAGAGACAAACACACTTCTGCTGCTGTGGTAAAACCTGAGCCAAAACTCCTACTCCTCAGCGTGCTCGCATCCAGGCTTTGTACGCTCTGTTTACTAGGCTGAACTGGGGCCCACTTACCTGAATGGACAAACAGGACTTCCTTTCATGCCGTAGTGTTTGTGAGGTAATAACACAGTTAATAGCATAGCACCTGCACCCATTAACAATTACTGCAAAAGTTTAGAGGTTGGAAGGCCTCAGTGGCAAGCATGCTAACAACAGATGCATAAAGTGCCTGTGTTTTATGAAGAGTTCACAGTCTTTAATTAAGGCAGCTCTTCACTCTAATCTGGCATGTTGTTTCCAGCTCATGCAGCCTTCAGCTGTAAAGCCACTGTCTTCTTAGATTCATAAAAAGCATGGAAAAAAAGACTGTTACAGACCAAGAGTGGTGGAAA